GAGATTGTGTTATCAACTCTCAGTTCTTTCAAAACTAACTTGCGCGCCGCAAAGTATGCTTCACTTTTCTTCAACTTTATTGATACATTGAATTCGTTGAAATTTTTTCTTTTATACAAAAAACTTGCAAAAGATTGCTTCCGAAATTCATGCAGTGTCGCTCTTTGTATTGCTTTTCGCATAATTTTTTTTTTTTACTGCATTATTATGTGTCTATATGCATTTCTGACAATTGTGCGACGTACACTTTTTTTGCTTGAAATACACTACATAATAATAGATATATATTTTCAGTTTGTCTATATGTTACATGTATGCAGCGATATTTTTTTTTACTTGAATGTTGTTTGTGTTTCGAAAATATATTTGAAAAATTTGTGTTTGTTGGAAATAATATGTTTTAAGAATTATAGCGCCGCTGGCGCTCAGAAACTACTGCAGCCAAATACAAATCTTACTTTCGGAACCACATTTGCACTAGCGTATATGTGGTTAGAAAAAATTGAAAAATTTTTTTTAAATAATTTTGAAAACACTCATAGATTTTATTTAAGCTATGAAAATTTTATTCATCTTCTAAATTTGTTACAAAAAATATCGACTACAGTTAAAAAGAATTCAAAAAAGTAAATACGTTTTGACTGCGTAGAGCAAAATAAATTTTTTGAAGTGTTAAAATTTTAGGTTTTGGTTAATTTTTTAATTTCTTTTTTCATATGTCGGTATTCTTTATGCATGAATTCTTGGTAGATACATATATATAAATATACAAATTTATATATAAACGGCAGTGTTATTACGTGTTTTTGTTTTTGTGATGGCAAAAATGGTATGGTATGCACATTTAATAAACATTTTTGGCAAAATACTATGAAAATTGTAAAAAAAAAATTAAATAAAAACAATGTTTATATAATACGTATAAACAAATGTTTAACTTAGATAAATCTAAATTTACGATTACTAATCTTTCGTTTCTTATTTATTAAAAAAAAACATAAAAAAATGAAATCACAAATTATTGATGAAATATTTTCAAAAATATTAAAATAGTAAAAACAATTAAAAAAAAAAATAGATGTATATATAAAACAAAAATTAGTTATTAATTAAATAAATTTGATTTTTAGAGAAATTCCGCTAATTAGTTGTAAAACGGAAAATAAGAAAATAACAGTTATATAATATAATTACAAATATTTTATCTCTAAGCAAAAAAAAAAAATTCTCTGAAGATCCGTCAAACGATTTTTGAAAATGCTTGATTGCTGATGATTGAATGTTTTACTGATTTTTTTTATGTTTCATATACATAAATATTGTGTTTTCTTTTTCGTCAAAGAATGTTTTTTCACTGACAAATCTGCCCCCTCTCGAGAATTATTCGCATTCTTCGCTTGTATATTTTGAATATTCAAATTTAATTTATAAATTTTTTTATTTTTAAGAAAAGTGCAACGCTTTTGGGTGTTTTGCTCATTGTTATTGTTGTAATTTAAATTGTTTTTTTCTCCTGCTTTGCTCACGTGTATATCATGTTGTTTGTAAGAAATGTTACTGTATGTATGTATGCAATACTTTGAAATTGGTGGGTTTCTTGTTTGGTATACTTTATACGCGTATTTATAATATTAATTATGTATTAGCATTTTTTTTTTTGAAAAACACATTTACTAAATAGTATTTTTCATCCTTTCGGGTTCGTTTCATTTTTATTTTATTTATTTTTTATTAACTTTTAGTTTTTTTCGTAAGTATGTAGCCAATGTGTGTATATATATTTTTTTGGTTTAAATGCTTTGGGTATGTTTTAGAATTTTTGTGGATTTTTTTTTTGCTTACTGTTTGCTGCTCATTTTACTTTGTTGCTTTTGTTCTAATAATAAATTACATGTAAACAGTTTTAAGATTTGTGTATTATAATTCTGTTGCTCTCTTCGCTTTGTCTTCACTCAAAATGCAACGAGTTTCATGTTGCGCCTTTCTTTCGCTGTTGTAATTTAAATCTTTTTGTTGTTGGTATTTGCTTATAGATTTTTTTTTTCGTTTAAAGTTCACTACTAATATTCAAAATGGACATTTAAAAAAGTTGATTACTTTAATATAATTCACATTTTTTAATATTTAGGTATAAGTTTTTATTTTTTTTTTTAAATTATTTTATATATTATTTAACTTTTTTTCCCCACTTCCTTTTTGTATTTGCATATTTTTTAATTACAAATATTATTTCTTTTATTTATTTTTTTTTTTTTTTTTTTTGAATTACAACATATTCTTTTTCAATACCTTCCACATGCGCATATATGTATATGTAAAAAAATGTTTGTAACTACTACAAAACTGGGTTTCAAATTCAATATATTTGATTTCTTCATTTTTTATTTATTAAATTACATTTTCAATCAGTTTTTGTTTTTGCCAATTTATATGCCTTTTAGTTTGTTTCTTTGTGTCTACCTGTGTTTGCACAATGTCCAAAAAAAAATTTTTTTTATGTAAATTAATTAAATGTCAATTGATCACAGTTTATTGTTGGTATTTACTATGTATGTATGTTTGTATGGCTGTTTTTGAATGTTTTTTAACGTTTCGAAGTTTGTTGATTTTGCGCTTTACTGTATGCCCGTCAATGAAATTTACATTCGTTTTTGCCTTGCTTTACTTACTTCGTGAATGTTTTTGATAAGTGATGTTGTTTGTGGTGTAGAGATGAGATGGTTGCTTTTCTGGTGATGTTTTGCTACTCTGATGGTATGTATACTACTGACAAGTTCAAAATACTTACTGAAATGCTGATGTGGGTGTGATGATGATGCAAATGTTGAGGAAGTAGTAATGAGATAAAGTTTCAAATACACTTTACCGTTAATTGATATATATGTAAATATATTTATTTACACGTATGGTAACCGATCAAAGTTCCTAAGCAAATTTAGAGTTCCACATACTTTCAATATACGTGACGCTTTTTGGCGCTTCAAAAAAGACATGCTTCGCAAAGCTTTTAATTTTTGGTTTGAAAAACTTCATTTCACTTCTCTAAAACCAGCTTTCTCTATTACTGCATACTTAAAGCACATATTTCGAGCTTTTTAAAGCTTAGTGCATTCTCAAAATAATTTTTCTCTCAAGCAAGCTTTTCTGAACTTTGAACATTCTGCTTGTTTTTAAACGAGAGAGTTAACTACACTCTTCTGTTAATATAGTTAGGGTTGCGGGAAAACTTCTCGAAACTTGCGCTAATGAGAAAATATTCTAATTTTACTACAAAATCATTGAAAGCTCCCAAACATACCTTTTATATGTCATTAGGTAGTGGGTGTTTTTTTTAAAAACTCTTTTAAAACTTTCAAGCGCACATAAAACTCAAATGCTCGAGCGTCTGCCTATTCCAGATACATACTCAGACCGCTTTTCGAAGCTTTAACTACACATATACAAAAATTAAAGCTTTCGAAATTTCTAAAATTTGTTTAGTTTTAATTTTTTTACCTTACAACGTTCTTAATATTTGAAAGGAAGCAGTTAAATCCGTTCGTTTAATATACAGCAAGTTGCAGTTTCAAAAAAAAAAAAAAAATCGATATTTGTATTATTGAAAAATAGTATAAACTTAACTGTATATATATAAATAACCATAATCTATGGAAACCCTTGAGCTAGCCTGAACTTTAAACTCCATATAACTTTGATATTCATTAAGGATTTGAGCATTTATTTATAGGCTATCAAAGCTTTAATTCCTCTATTTCAGAAGCTTCGTAGCTTCAGTGCGATTAGGAGCGCAGTTCATACTAATAAAATTTGAAATCCCATAGCTTTTGCATACTTAAAACAAATCAAAAGCTCACACGCCGAGCTTTATTGAATCTACAGTAAAAGTTTGAGCTTTTCTTACTGCATCTATTTAAAACTCTTCAAATTGTTTAAAAAAATTAAAATTAAAACTACACACAACTTCAATATTCTTTTAGATTGTGGATATATTTCTTAAATAGTCCCTCAAATCGTTCATTATTTCGGCTACAGATATTTCCAAGTTTTCATTTGAGCTTCCAGTGATATTCAGTAAGGTTTGAAGGTCAATTCATATGGAAAGAATTTCAAAAGCGTCAACTTCTGCGTACTTAAAACACACTTAAGTGAAAACATTTCGTATTTCTGACACGCACTTGAGCTTAATCTCTTTTACCTCTCTGAAAGTTTGAAAATTATGCTTTAAATATACTTTTCTGTTTTATTATGCATGTTTAAAGCAAATTTTAAAATTTGTGAGCTTTATATGATTTAATAGGAAATTAAAGCTTTTCATCGAACTTTTTATTCGGAATTTATGATCTTATGAAAAACTAACCGTAAGTAAGCCGACACTGAGAAAAATCCTAAAAATACTGAAAAAAAAATTTTGAGCAAATTGGTTTATTTTTATTATCTCCTGTTCTTGTAATTTTTGATGCTTGATTATGTTGATGATTTCGAAATGTTGATGGTAAGCAAATGATGTCCTTTTCTGTGAAGTAGTATGAATTCTAATTTATACATTATCTACGCTCGACTATGAAAATTGTCAATTGCTGTGATTTCTATATAAATATTAGCGGTACCATACAAATAGTATAATAAAAATTAATAATATTTCATATTATTTCTTACCCTTTCTCTCTTTTGTTCTCATTAATTTTAATATTTTTGCTACCTTTTTCATTAAAAATACTGCTGATAACACGCTTATATATTATGTATATAATAAAATTTATACGCCAAGCCCATTTAATATTACTATATATATATATAGATATATATACTATAATATGTTTTTTTACTGGGTTTTTATATTTGTAACTTTCCTCTAACATCGCAGCTGTGTATTAGATTTTGGAAATTATCCTTTTCTTCATTAAACTTTCATAGAAAATAAATAAACAACAATTTTATATATATTTTTTTTGGAATTTTTTTATATTTATATTTTATATTAATATGTGTTGGTGTGTGTGTGTATATATAATTTTGGTTTTCATTTACTTAATATTACTTTTTAACTTTATTTTATTTTTCACTTGAGAGTTAGATATTTATCATGAGTAGTGTATGTATAATATTATTAAATTACATATACATAAATTGCAAATTATGCTTAAAATTTAAATATTCGCTTGTAAGTTTTTAATTTAAAAAAAAAAAAATATACACAAGAAAATTATACAGTTTTCAATTTATATAATATATATTTTAATAAATAAACAAAAATGTTAACAGAAAATAATTAAAATTGCAATTTGCCACTTAAATATTTTTTAAATACACATATGTATGTATTTTAAATTATAATGAACTCATGGTTATTTAAGTACTACATAATTCGCCTTGCAGCCTACGAAGCTCACATTTTGAAATTATTTAAAAAATATGACTTAGCATAAAAGATATCGCAGTGGCTGCCCAGCAGAGAAAGCCAAAGAAAGCAAAACAAAACAGAGAAATATACAAATTATGAATAAATTTTTTTCACTATTAAATTTGCCATAAAACAACAAATTTTTATACAAATAAATTTTATTTTAATATATGTTTTTTTGTTATTAATTTGTTGTCTTCCGGTTCAACATCTTTTTTTTAATAAACAATATATATCGGTGACTTAAAAATTAATTTTACACACGCTTGAAAATCTACAAATTGTACTCACTTAACTATTTATTCATAATTAATAATAATTGTTATGTATTCCATTTTTATTAATTAAGTAATAAGTAAAATTCTTAACATTACACTTAAATATACAACTATTTATTTTTTATTTTTTTGTCTGCTCTAATTCAGATGCACAGATGCGACTACAATGCATAATTTAATTTGCCATAATTATTGTATGTACGCAAATGTTTTTCATTTTTTCTCTTGTTTCTTTTTTTTTTTTTTTTTTTTTTTTTTTTTTTTTTTTTGTATACTGAATTTTAAATATTTTTCTCTTCCTCACTACTATTTCTCTCAGTGTATGAATTTATGCAAGTGGCTGTGTTCTCGGCTATATGTATGCAAATGTATGCTGTTTGTGTGTGTGTATATGAGTGTGTGTGTTTGGTACTCGGGCAATCGTTCATTGTTTTAAGTAATTGGTTGTTGTTGTTGTTTTTTTAATTTACTCTTCCCGCCCGAGAGCGCTTCAATGTTTGTCTGCTTCTTCTTCTTTGTCTTCTTCCAACACACATGCAAGAAGTATTAGCAATTCAATAATGTTTTTAATAATTTAACTGTTATATGATTTTACGTAATTTAACTGCATTTTCTACCCACTTTAACTTTACTCTATTTCATACCAAGATTTTCGCTTACGCCTTCCATCTTCCCTTACGTCTTGTTTTGCTACCTTTTTAATTTGCTTTTTGGCAGTTTCATTTCACTGAACACTCCTCCAATTTCTTTCTCTCCCTCTATCTCTCTGCCTTTCTCATTCCTTTACTCTGTGCTCTTCTCTGTGCCTTTGCATGCCTTTTCGCTGTGAGAAAACTCCTTACTCCAATCGTGCCTTGTACGTTGTCTTCCAGATTTCGGCCAATGCTACGGCGCTATGGAAACGATGGAAAATGCAAAGTGGCAGTGTGACGCGTTGTATTATTGACCATGGCACAAAACCGTAAAAGTCAAGTTGAACCTGTTTTCATACAATAAAAAATATTTTTTTTTTCGAAGTGACGAAAAAAAGTTAAAAAATATTAAAGATTTTAGTATATAATTGATAACAGTACTTTAGATTCTCTAAAGATTCTACATAACATCGAGAACGTGCGAAAAATGTACGCAATACATGAAGATATGAGAAGTGAAATAGAATGGTATTTAAAGAATCGCATATAAAAATTTAAAAGATGTATTTAAGTGTGTACTTGTGTCTGTTCAATCATCTGAAATTCAAATAAATTTATATTTAACGTAAATGTATAATTTTTTCCGCATATAATAAGTGCAAAATAATAAAAAAAATTTTAAAAAATTTCAATTTAATTTTTCAGGATTTGTTAGAAAATTCCACGAAGAACTTCTGATGACTGCATAATTTTTTCTGCCTGCGGCCGTTGACATCCTATATCCACTGTTAAAAAATATCTACAAAACTATCATAAGTGACGTAAATTAAAACAAGCAAGAAAAGCCTTCTTCGGTATTTCGATTTAGGATTAAATAATAATTCTCATTTTTAAAGAATTGATTAGTGCAGGCGATAAGATAAAGTTTTCCGATTCCGATGACTCCCAAAATCAATATTTTTTGTACATAGAAGAGCTAATTTCTTGCTATCAGATACTTCTACGACGAGCTGTTGGAAGAAATCGATGTAAAGGGACTATATTTTATAGTCTCACGATCTAAGATGTTTTTTTATTGGTTTAAAATAACTCAAAAAATGTAGGACTACTTTGTGTGCAAACAGACGGACAGAAGAATATGGCGAACCCAACTCATACCATCATGCTGACCTAATCTGTATACATTTTGATGGATCTATGTCCTCTCCTTCGGGTACTTACATACTTTGGGCTAAAGTTTATCTACAACTTCATGAACATGAAATGTATAAATATACGCCTCTGGCCCTTAATTACTTTCCCAAGAGATTGAAAAATCAAGTAACTCTAAAACCAAGTCCATTGACATCCAGCGCAGATTTCTATCATTATAAACCAGGGAATTTATACCAGAAAAGAGTGAATGTACATAAATAGATATGCTACCCACGATTGGATGTTTCCTCTCTACTCCTGGAGGGCGCCACAGTCAATCCACTGCTTTGAAAGCTAAACGGAACAGGTTGTCGATTGGTTACATGTACTGACTGACTGATACTGTCCAAAGAGTGATCGCAAAAATTCTAGTTAATCTACTCCAATCTAATATATGCTGTGGAAAGTATATCAGTGATACAGGGACTATGTGAGTAACTATTTCAGTCAAGTATGCTGGGATAATATTAGGAAGCAAACCCCTCTGGTATAAAGAACAGTAGCAACAAGCCGAAATAATAGCAGAAAAAGGGATTTAAACAATAGATCATGTACGGAATATGTAAAAAAGCAATCAAATCTTCCACAAATAAAACCATCATATTCCACGAAGTTATAGTACGGCATTTACCTTCTATCAAATTCTTGAAACCTCTCTTCATTAGATCAGGTATATGAGCACCAATCATCTCAAATACTATAACCTAAACCGAAAGAAGTTCACTACAAACGTCCCATATGCGAGTATGTGAGAACTCAACCTTTTTAGACCATAAACACATAGCTCATTTTAATGATAACTCTAAATTCGATGGCAAAAAATTTAAAGAAACCCTAAACGTTTGAACACCTAATAGGCCATAGAGAACGTGAAATCTGTAGTAAACTATCGCTGTTAACCAAGTAAGGCTTGAAATGAATGGTGTTAAATTTACCAGTGTCTGATTAAAGCAAAGAACTCCAGTGGCGGCTAATAAAAGTCCCCACTAAAAGTTAATTGGTTCGGGAAAAGACAGTTAAATCTGAGCTTTAACTAAAGTTTCGTGTATCTACAAGTGACGTTTTATAGCCGCTGAAGCGATTTGCGGCCCAGCTTCTCCTCCACCTTGTTGTCGAACGCACTCCACCGTGTTTTCTCTTTTGGGCTTCATTACCAATTTGCGGAACATCGCTAACAAGATGTGAATGAGGAAGATCGAAAAATAAGTCGACGTGTCTCTAATGCAGATCACCTCAGCTGAGGCTTAAAGTATATTAGCTTTGTGCAAAAATAATAATAATGCCTTTCTCTATCTGCGCTCTGTGCGTGTTTATGTTAATGAAATCTTTTCGAAACCTCCTTTTATAAGAAATCATAAATCAAGTTCAAACCTAAAAGAAAGTTTGTGGAAATCGCTGTAATTCAAATGTGAAAATGTTATGAAATCGCATGGGTTTCAAAAATATATATGTATATATACATGTAAGTATGTTTTGATTAGCAGACGAACCGATACTACGCTATCTACTTAGAAAAGCAAGCAATTCATGCAAAAATTTCAAAATCACATACTCTTCAAAACCATAAAGCACGAAAATTTTCAAAATGTGCTTCCACAAAACTTAGGCAACACTCATATTGGGTTCAATACGAGTTTACTTATGCGTTTTGTTTTTGAATTTCGTAAAAATAGATTTTTTTTTTCTTTAGTAAACATATCTTCATATATCGCTCACGTACATATCTACTTACAGGATTGGCGAATACTTTATGAGCTTCAAATGTGTAAATAGCAAACATAGCCACATTGCAGATCAAAAGGAATGTGACAATTTGACGGCCCGGTTTGCTGCGATCATGTTCGGGCAAATGGACGCGACGACGCGAGACATCGGCTATGAAGAGCAATTGTAAGATAACCTGGAATACCGCCACGGCGCTTGTGGTCATGACTAGAAGATTCGGTTCGTTTTCGAACGCCTTCAAACTGCCGGCTATGACACCGAATACCGAATAGGTGAAGAGACCGAAAGCGGAGATACGTAGAAGAATGTCATTGAGATTGGATTGCTCTTCGCAGCGGAATTTCAGATTTCTGACCCTGTTGTGGTGGTATAAAAATAGATTTAGTTGGAGTATTATGTAATGCTATTGTACTTCAGTGATTGAGCTTACCTTATAAAGCCGATGATAATGGCGAGCACAGCGAATGCCATGAGTATGCAGTGACTTGCGTCGGCGAGGTAAATTGCTAGCAGCGAGAACTGCTGATGACGCACCAAGACGAAGAAGAGTATCAGGCAAATCAAAGCACCTACCAACAACAACAGACCAAAGAATAACCCTTTTGACGAGCCCACACAATCGACACGTCCCGAACGTGCCTGATGTGCCATTGCGACAGCGCGACGTGACAGCATAACCTCCAAACGATGCTCCAAATCCTCATCATTCATACGACCTGGATAGCGACCAATATGCTTCCACATCACATACAAGACAACTGCGCCGATTAGCGAGTATTCAATGATGAAAGGATACAAAAAGGGTGCCGAGTCGTAAACAATGGTGCCCATAATATCGACACGTCCACATGCGGTCGAATTCAAAGTGCCAATATTAGAGGACAATGCGGCGGGGTAGATATTATCTAGGCTCTCAAGATTCTCAAAACTCACAACACTGGTTGCCTCAGGATGCGAAATGCCCGAGTAGGTTTGGAAATTGTTCATGCCCGGACCCAGTAAATTGGTCATCACGTTCAAAGCATTCTCGGTGGTGGTGGATGGTGTGCCGGTGGTAACGGTGGTACTTGGCGTTGACGAGACTAGATTATTAAAGAACGAGGAAAGACCCGAACCGAAGCTGGTGGATACAGACTCATCGACAACGGCGGTGGTTGATGGTGGCATAATACCTGCAGCGCCTCCACCATGAGTGGACATCAGATAATCGGTTGCAATGCTTGGGCCACCAGTTGTAAATGCCGAGTGCTCGAAATGTTGTCGGAAGGGTGTCTCAGTGGTCGTAGTTGTTGTGGTCATGGTGGTAATTGGGCTGCTCGCCAGTGTTGTTGTCGACGGTGTTGTTGTTGTGCTTGGCATTGTGCGCAACGTTGTGGTCGTGGCAGCTGTTGTGCTCGTGATAAACTTCTTCAACTTGCGTGCCATAGTAGTGCTTTGCCACTGGTACGATGGTGTGGTGAAATAGGAACGTGGGGTGATGGTAGTGGTTGTGGTGGTGGTCGTGGGTCTATTGGTGGATGTGAGCAGCGTGGTGAGCGCTGCATTGGCATTAGCACCAGCAGCAGCGCCCATGCCCAGCGACTTGGAGATGCCATCAACAGTTTTGCGCACCAATTTCGAGAGTACATTGTCGGTTTTGTAGGCATTGGCGGGAAGTAGATCCTCGCCGTCCAGTACCTCAAACTCCTCATTCGGACCGGCGTGTGTGCGCAGAACTGTACCAGCATGTCGCAATGCGTGTTGACGTATGGACTTGGCAATGGACGAGGCTTCGGGATCGGGTTCGCGACGTTGATGATAGAGGGTGATTTCGAGTAATGATTCTTTGACAAGGGTACGTATCCAAACGCAAATATTCGTGGCAACGACGTGCATCAAGCCAAAGCGGGCGATCACCTTGAAACGATGGATGTTGAGCTGAAATTGTGGGAGGAAATTTAATGGGTTTTATATCAGGGGAAGAAATCAAACTCAGAAGGGAATAATATTTTAAAAAGCCATCGGATTAATGGAAAGTAAACAAACCAAAGATTTTCAATTACATGATTGTTTATTTAAGATATGGAATTACCGTACCTGATATGGTGGCCTAGTCTGCGTAGTAAGGAATTTTGCGGAAAGAAGTTTAATTAAAAGCTAAGCGGATAATTTGGAAAATGAAAATTCTCATGCAGTAAAAGTCGAAAACTGAAAAAAATATCCAAATGGCTTTCTAAAAATATTTTATTTGTAAATATATTGTATAAAACCGTGATAAGGTCTTAAATGATAAATTCAGTCTGGGGAGGGTTGTAGATTTATAATAAATTTTCCTAATAGTAAATATATTAATAAAATACACAAGGATCAAATAAAGACAAATACAAATAATCCAGACTGATATGTAAATAAATTGCAATCCAATTATATGAAAGTTCCCTCTCAAGCCAGCAAATTTCAAATTTTGAAGAATCATAAGTAAGATTCCTTATCAGGGGAAAGATTTTCAGATAGATGCAAGCGGGTGACTTCTAGCCAGGAGACGATGATGTTGCGCTTTTGGTACGAGCATACATTATCGGTATCAAGAAAAGTGAGGGTCATTGAAATGAAATTTTAGACGGCTGGTTAAGATGAGCTTAAAAATTATCATGGTAACTGCTGATTTTTTTGTCAATTTATTAGTAACTTTATTTTTCTTCTTTAAGATTCTCATTTTCGAATAGGGTATGGCATAATGCTTGTCGTAGGCCATAACTACTCTGAGGTTGAATCGGAGAACTTGTTTAATATCAACACGAGCAAAATATGTGCGATCCAAATTCAATAATGCTGAGTGTTCATCTATTTAGTTTATTTCTCGCTTGCGAGAGATTTTATATTGAAAATATCGGAAAGTATGTTACTAAGTATTAAACAGGTCCTGAATCAGGAAACCAAGTTTTATAGTAATATTTAAAATTAATTCTTAAATACACTTTTTTGAAATTGTTGGGTTGAACCCCATCGATATTGAGAATTTCCGAATTTTCTCACTAACTAAGATACCTTTACTGTCCTTAATGTCTACTGTGTCCTTATTTTATAAGATATCTTACATTATATGAGTAATTATTGAAACCTTCGAGAGTACTGTCAGTTTTGCCTCACCATAAAAATATAGAAGACAATCTTAAATGTACTCTACTGTCTCTCTCTCTCTCTCTCTTGATCTCACCCTCTCTCTATTCCTTTCTCTGTCTATCTCCTCCTCTCTCTCTCTCCCTCTACCTCTCTCTCACTATCTCTTCTCCCTCCCTTCTCGTCTCCTCTCCCTCTCCCTCCCCGTCTCCTCTCCCTCTACCTCTACCTCTACCTCTACCTCTACCTCTACCTCTACCTCTACCTCTACCTCTACCTCTACCTCTACATCTACCTCTACCTCTCCCTCTCGCTCCTTGTCTCTCATGAATTATTGGATCAAGCTTATATAAAACCCAACCGAGAAACAAAGATGTACAATATGTTCACACCTTGGGCTTCTCCCGAAAGCATTCACAGATATCTATCAAAAACTAATTAAAATAAGTAATCATTGATCAACTCACTTCTAAAGTTTTGCAACAGCTTCAAAATAAAGAGACTATTTTTGAGCCACGTGCTTTCTTCCTTTCTTGCAATCACTTTCCCATCCCAAAAAAAAAAATATAGTACACATTTCACACTTTTACTCACTCTGGCATTCATGAAGATGAAATACATTTGCATAAAAGTGAAAATCATCTGCAGCAATGGATTGACGCCAATCAAAATGTGATGACATGGTGAATCAAAGGGAATCTCGAAGAAAGAGCCAAACTCCAGTCCAATATAGATCATAGCACCCAAACCGAAAGCTGAAAGAAAGCAAAAAAAAAAATTTAAGCAATTAAAAGTGTAATGCGATCTTAAAAATTAAACAAAAATACTACTTTTGTATAAATTTGTTTAGCTTCTTAATTATAGACTAATTTTTAATTGTATTTCTCAGTCCTCTCATAAGCAGTATGATGAGAGTATTTCTAGTGCTTCATGAACTTACCGATCGCGCCGACACGCAAGAAAAAGCTGCCATGTGTTGGATCGCTATGGGTTGTTTTGCGTTTGCGCACATTCTTCGTAGTTACAGCAACCTCAGCTTCAGCTTGTGAGTCCTGTGTAAGTAATGATTTAAGGAATTTATAAAATTTGTTTGTATTTTACTGAGGCAATATACGTTTTTGTTAATTCGATATGAAGAATTTTAAATTGTTATTATGTATGCAGTTTAGAGAGAGAGAGAGAGAGAGAGAGAGAGTATGATTTGTGTTCAGATCTAAAAATTTGTTAAAAGTAACTAAAAATAGTTCCGTGTGTCTACAATAAAATACAGAGGATATGTTTGGGGTGCAGTTGTTATGGGATGGTATGTCAAAGCGCTTGCAAATTCTACTTCACATAGTATTATTGGGTTTTGTTTTTAATTACAAATGAAATTTTTAAGTTTTATATATCAATAAATACTTCAAAATATACACTCATATATATATAAGAAAAACTTAATACCTTAAAAATATATGTATTTCATACATTCTAATTAATTTGTGTAGTAATTGGGGTTAGAGGTTAGGAAGCATTGTTAAAAACTGCAAAGAAGATTTTAAAAAATAGATTAGGTGAAGTAAAAAGTTCGTTCGGTTTTTATATAAGAGATAACGTTATTGTCCATATTACTAGTGTTACGTGTCGCACTAAAAGTTTGTCATTTCGATTGATTGACTCAGTATGTTGTGAGCGCTTGTCAAAGCTGGATACCAGCAAAGAGAAAATTTGCTAAATTTTACAATTTTTCTTCGATCAAGGCGAAAAGCAGCCAAAGCGGCTCAGAAAATTAATTTAGTTTATGGGTCCGATACTGTAAACGAACGTGTAGGACAAAAGTGGTTTGCTAGGTTCCGTTCCGTTAATTTCGATGTCAAAGAGAGAGAGGCCTGTCGTCGATAATTGCACTTATTTACTTGCTGAGGAACTAAAGTTAAGCCAGAAAACCGTTTGGAACCATTTGCATAACCTTGGATTCAAAAAGACGCTAGATGTTGTGGTGCCACACGAAGTAACGCAAAAAAACAGAGGCCGAATTGTGTTCCATCAGGACAACGCCAGGCCACACACGTCTTTGGTGACGCGCTAGAAGCTCCAAGAGCTCGGATGGGAGATCCTAATGCACCCAACTTATAGTCCGGACCTGGCACCAAGTGATTACCATATTTTACTGTCCATGGCGAACGCGCTTAATGGTGAGAAATTAGCCTCAAGAGAGGCCTGTGAAAATTGGATCTCCGAGGTTTTTGCCAACAGGGACGCAGCCTTCTACGAAAGGGGTATAATGAATTTGGTATCTTTTTTCGAACAAAACGGCGCATATTTGACTTAAATCAGACAAATGTACATAAAGTTATCATATTTTCAAAAATCAATAAAAACCCGAGCGAACTTTTTACTTCTCCTAATATAATACTGATGAACTCCTTTGCTATATTTCATACATCTTAGCAATTTTAAAATAAAAAAAAGACAGTGCTGAAGAATTAATAGTACAAATCTTATCCTTAATTGTTTCTTTTTTTAAACTAAATTAATGTAAAAAAGGAAATTAGGATTTGCAACACCGCGACGAGATTTGCTTTTTAACCTATATATTATATATTATTTATAAAATAATTATAAAAATAAATAATATAAAAATTATACGTTCGGTCGTAAAGATCGTTTTACTTATAGACGTTTAGTATTGACATAATATATCAAAAATAAAATAATATATTTTTTTACGGCATAAGGACAACCGACAAATTGGCAAAAACTAGTATGATTTGAATTTAAGTTTCAACCGTGCCTCAATGTGTTCACCTCGTATTTTTATTGATCTACGATTGCGGGTTACAAGCTATTATTATATTTACATTCAACTTGAAAGTAAATAAGCATAATTCCGAATGCAAAATTTGATTTACTTTGAGGCATTTATATTGAAATTTTCTGGAAAGACTTTGAGCAGCCAAGGAGTGGCTATCAAAATTACCACTTCCTTTTGTAAATGTCTTACATGGGTGTTTAACTGTTGATTAAACGAATAAATTGCGTAATATTAAAAGTCATAGCACTCGGGGTAAGCTAAACCTAAAAATTGTTATTTTTAAGAAATTCATAAAATATTTTCGCATTTAAAATTTGAAAGTGAAAGAGTAAATTACATTTAGTGAAATGTTCCCAATCTTATAAAAACAGTTCATATTTACCGAAATGCTTAAAAAAAGTGAAATTAGCTACGATGATAGAGTTAGAATTCAAGTTCTAAGTGAAGAAGGTAAGTATCAGGTTGAGATTGACAATTTGGTGGGAAGTTCGCGGTCCGATGTGCTATTAAGTGATTTCTGAAGACGAAATCCCACAATAATAATTCAAAAAGTGGAAGAAAGCGTCTAACCAGTAAACGAGAAGACCGAATACTTAAACGCGCGTCTCTCAAGTATCCCAGCTGCACTTTCGGATGAATTTAGTAAACCAGTTAGTACTCGAAGAGCTAAAAGAAGACTTCTGGAAGCAGATTTAAAAGGATGTAAGTCCCGAAAGAAGGCGTGGCTCTCAGAAAAGTATAGGAAAAATCGTTTGGAATGGGCTCGCGGAAGAAGTTTGGTCGAATGTTATGTGGTCTGATAAATTAAGCTACGAGGTAATCTTAGTTAAGTATTTACAGCCATAGATTCTTACCCTAGAGCAATTTTGAAGCCATATTATAAATCAAATCATATGAAAACATTATTTTTTCTATTCTACAGACATTTGGAACACCTGGTTTGACGTTCGCGAGGCGATGGGTTGAGGAAGAATATCATCTAGAATGTGTGGTACCCACTGTTAAGCATAGAGAAAGCAGCATTATGATCTGGGGCTGCATGGCTGCTGGTTAGATTGGCCTGTAGTCTCCAGATCTTAGTCCCATTGAGCACATGTGGGCTATTTTAAAACGCAAGATTGAGAAACACAGTATAACATGAAAAACTGCCTTAAAGAATGCCTTAATTATTGAGTGGTGCGCTATAAGTTCGGACGAATGTGCAAAGCTTGTACGTAGCATACATAAGAGAATTGTTGCCGTTATTAAATCAAAGTGTGGACCTAGTAAATATTAATGTTATTATTACTAATTCATTGTATGTTCACTGTTTCATTTATAAAACTGTATTACTTCACTTGTTAAAACCAAAAATTAAGTAATTGGTAGGGTGCCTAATACTTTTGGCCAAGCCTGTATGTCAGCCATATTAGTACAAATTTAGTGCCTACTAAAAAGTGCATATTGGCCAAGTTTGGTTCTGTTAATGAATACCTTGAATTTTGGTCATAATATTTTAGATTTTGTGTCAAGAAGGTGGAAAGTCAATAATCTATTATCCATGGCATATAGGGTTAGTTGTTTGACGATTGCGCTTCTATTCAGTTCTCTCTGAGATTTTTCTCCAAAAAGAGAATGATGTCATGCCTACCAAAATTTTCTGTCCACTCTATATTTTTATTTATGATGTGATCCCCCCGAGCAAATATGGCTTTAGTTGATATACTCTGCTGAAGTTTGATATACTCGTATACGACTATATACGCATATCTATTCGATTAGCTTTAGCCGTTACTTACAACTGTCAGCTGAAGAAATTCTGTGTTGCATGACACAGCCGAGTGCAAAAATTATGACAGTAAATTTGAAAAACTGAAATATTGAATTTACAAAAAAAGCATATACATGTGCATGTACATGTGTGCCGAGAAAAGTCTTTGCTGAGATCCAATTCGATATGTTCTGAACTGAGGTTAAATCTGTTCAAGAAATATATTTTTTGAGTTGATCAGTTTAAAATTTTTGGGAAAAGAAAAATTCAGATGATAATTAAAATATCGTAAATTTGGATAGAAAAAATAAAGCAATAAAAACTTTATTTAGACAAAATGACAAAGAAAAGTAATTATGAAGAAATTATTGACATGAGTGTTGTACGAGTATATTTGTCTAAGGGGTAGCTTGAGACAAAGGGTCACTCGCTAAAGCCTGTTTTTATCTTTTACAGGTTCTGTGGTTACCGAAATACGGTATGTCAGAACTCTCCGAGGATGTATTTTTTCGCAAGAGAATTGATGAAGTAGAGTCAGAACTCTCCGAGCATGCATTTTTTCGCAAGATAATTGATGAAGTAGAGCTTTGAAATATTGCAACCTAAACGGAATTTTTATCCGGGAGTAAGTAGAAAATTGTCAAAAGTGTAAATGAAAGGTAAAAAGCCATCGAAAGGCCTTCAAGTTGCGAAAAATTAAGCAGAAATTCACATAAATATTCTTAAAGCTAAAATAAAACCACTTGCAGCTTGAAAGCCGTATACTCAAACACACTCAGGCATACTTTTTTAGTAACTCTGGTAGAACTCGTGGTAGAGTATTCTAAGTCATTAGTTTATGAAGTTAATTAGTATCTAATTTGTCCAAAAACATTTACGAGGACCCTCTCCTCAGATTTGGCCAAAAGCAGTCTGAATTTTTTGGTGAGATAATGAAAAGGCGTACAAATTATTATTATTGAATTTTAAATTTGCTCATTATTTGAGATTTTAAAACGGCAAACAATAGTCGAAATTCAAAATGACGGCTACAAAATGACGTTTTTCGTCGGCCTCTTTGCCGAAAACATGGTCCAACAACTTCAAACCCACAAACTCTTGTAATCGATTGAAATCAAAAATCGTTGTCATTACTTAAAGACAGATAGACCAAGCGCAGGGATTGAAGCTAGATTGGAAAATAGGTTTCGAGAAAAACGTGTTCAAAGTTTTTTGAAAGTTTGTCCTGCGTGAGTGCGCGCATAAGATAGGCGTGTTCGAGAAGCTACCATTTGAAAACTATTCATCGTATTGCAAAAACCCTTTAAACACATACTCTACAACTACATAGCTTTCATTTTTTGTCTAAAAAAAAATCGAATTTTTTTATCCAAAATCTGGGGAAGGTCGCCTTAAGAAAAGCAAAAATTACAGGAAACTTAGTAGTAATAAATAAAAAAACCCTACATAAATACCACTTTTACTCTTCAACGCCAACTCGTTTTGCCACATGTAAAATCGCTACATTT